CACAGGAGCCTTTGGGAACATTTTAAAAGAGAAACCATAATAGGAACAGGTAAACATGAAGGGCTAACTATATGCTATCACCAGCTCTCATAATGAAGGCTTAAGAAGGTATCCCCAATAGATAGATTCCTCTTTTTGAGGGGCTACAGAGAGAGCAAGAGGAGGAGGAGGATGCTCATATGGCTACAATTGTAATATTAAAGATGTGGAATATTAGCATAATGACTGTACTTTATTCCCTGTCTTTTTAAAATTTTATATTTCAGATTACAATATAATTACAATATAATTACAAAAATTTCCCCTCCTTTTCCCTCCTTCCAAGCCCTCCCATATATCCATCCTTGCTCTCCTTCAAATTCATGGCCTCTTCTTTCACTAATTGTTATTGAATGTACATATGCATATACATATAAAGCTCTAAAGAGCCTTCTAGCACTGTTACTGAGCAGTTACTTCCTGTCTAGATGGAGTGGACTCAGAAAACAATTGTGGGACTACAGCTGCTATCCTCAATCTGGACTGTGGTGATATTTTATATGTGTCCCCCAATAAAGTTTATCTGAGGATCAGAGGAAAAAGCCAGCCACTATAGTAAACATAGAAGTCAGGCAGTGGTAGTATATGCCTTTAATCCTATCACTTGGGAGGCAGGGATCTGTCTCGATCTCTGTGAGTTCAAGGCCACACTGGGAACAGAGCCAGGCATGGTGGCACACACCTTAAATCACAGCACTAACCACAAAGGTCTGGAGGTCTGTACAGACAGACAGGAAGTGACAAAGTTGGGTTGGAAGAGGAAGTGATGTAGCTGGGCAGAGATGAAATGAATTGGCAGAACAGAAATGCATATAGGCATGGGTACACAGGAAGTAGCTCTCTTTGGAAGCTGTGGAGTTGGTGAGGTGAGGTTAGCTGTGGCTTTTCCTATTCCTCTGATCTCTCGGCTTTAACCCCAAATTCTGGCTCCATGTTTCTTATTTTACAAGACCTTTTAAGATTTGTGTTATACTGGACCAGCCTTTCTGAGCCTGACATTTCTTCTTAAGATGGGAAAGTTTGGTTATAAATAATAAAAAAGGAATGAGAGTAGAGGAATGAGCAAAGGGGTTCTGTAACAAGAGATATCAAAACTATATCAATGTCTATGAACAGTGTTAAAAGAGATGATATTGACTCAAGTTCACTGAGGCTGCTATTGCTTTGGTAAACCTGGTCAAATGGATGCCTGTCATTATAAACAGTCTCATCTTGGAAGATTACAACATACAGTTTGATGTTAGACTGGTTATGACACAATGGGACTCTTGTAAAGTACTACTGTCTTGTAACTGCTAGATACTTTCATTCTAAGTGATTCATGGTCAAAGGCTAGATGATAACCTATGGCATAAGAAACATATTTAATCTTTGCACCCAGTTCTTGGCAGAGAGCTCATAAAACTTTAGGGATATCCCTAGTAATAGGAGTATTATCTTCTGTAATTAACAAGGCAATCCTTTTGCTCACATCTGGAATTATGGCAATGGGATGAGCTCAGGGGAGTTCCTCTACATAGCTTCAGTGTAAGAATATTCAGTAGAAACACATGATAAAATGTTTGGAATTTTCATTGGAATTGGAAAGTAGACTGGGTATGTCTGTCAAAATTCTAAACAATTAATTTCATTAATTTCTTGTTTTATATACATGTCAGAATTCTGGGAGAATGATGTGTCAGAGAGGCACAAAAATGCATACTACCCACTCTCTAAAGCCTGGCTTTATTTGTGTCTTTCATTTGGCTATTCCCAAGTGGCATCTTTGATAATAAACCAGTAAATATAAAAAAGTAATGATATACTTGGACTTTACTATAATTTAAAACTTTTCACCAAAACTCAACAAGAGACTTAAAAATGAAAGACACAAAATGGATTAAAAAATCTCTATCTCTGCCCAAAGTATAACCAAATATGAAAATAACTTTGGCAGATTCCCTTGTTCCCTTTCCACCCTTTCACTCTTTCCCCCTTTATTTCATATGTGCTCCACTACTCTCTCCCACTTCCTCAAAATCTTTTCTTTCCATGATTACTGTATACTTCAAAATTGAAGATGACTTGGTTGTGAGTTACTGTTGTGTGTTTCCTCCATCAGCTTAAATCTGAACTAATGGCATAGAATTACAAATTCAAAATGCACTGAACTGCAATGGATTTTAGGGAAGTCATAAAACTATTATTTTAGTAATTGATTAAATATTTGCCAAAGTAAAAAAATAATCAAAATATCTTCTCATAATGATTGCATTCCTCTTGCGGCCAGCTTAGTTTTAGCTTCAAATAATAATCCAAGCTCCAGATATTTAATATAAAATATTTACATCTGAAATTGGTGCAGATCATTTAGAAAATCATGGGGTCAGTGGCTACTTTAGCTCCATCTGCACATACCTCATCACCAGTGCATTTGAGGGCAGGAAAAGTGGTTAAAAACCCTGGACACTAGTGGTAAAAATCCTGGACATGTGAGTATTCAATTTAGTCATGAGTTTAGTTAAACTGAACTAGCAGATATGAACAGTAACAAAAGAGAAACATATAGATCTTTGCTGGAGGATGACAAATAAAAGTCAAGATTCATGTAGTATTAGTAAACACCAAAAAAGCTTACCACCAAAAAAGGATATTAAATAAAATGATTATTTGTTTAATGTCTTTCATTGCCTTTTGAAGATGACAAGCTCTGTAACATTGATGGTTTTGTATTTTATCTGTCATTGTCACTAAGTATGCAGCTCATAAATATCTGTAACATGGAAAATAAGAATTGGATAATACACCCATTTCATTAAAATATGGACTTTACAAGGGAGGAAAAATATAACTCTAGTTCTATAACTAGCGTCACAAAATATCAAAAGCTCCTCAGATGTCTGCCCTAGGGAACTTTCTCCCAGAGTCTGGGGAAGGTGCTTACAAGTAGCGGGAATTCTAATCTTAAGGAAATGAACTCCACACACTGTGCTCTTTCAGTCCATCACTTTATTGTTCTAAGCAAGCTTCAACTCTGCCTTTGATCTCCCTGCTGTTCTTTCTTTTTTCTACTGCTTCTCTAAATCTACAGCTTGTTTGGCTCTCATTCTTGGCTCCTCTCTTACCTGACTCCTTATATTTCTAACCAAAGACTCCATGCAATCCTGAGAAAAGTTTCAAAGCCCTCAAGGCCATAGCACATTCCTAGAATAGATGATAAGGAGCAGAGCCATTGTCATAGTAATGAAAGGTTCCAAGGTCTCAGGACCAGAGGGAGGGGGCACAGTGCCCAGTGCAACAAATTCTGAGACATAGCTTTTTATCAGAAGACTTGGCAAGTGAAGAATTGGCAGGCCTTTCTTGGGGTGTTTTGTGTCAGTAGCCTTGGTGAGACACCTGCAACTCTGACCTTGTGCATAACTGTAAACTTTAAACTTATGATCTATATACAAAGGCCTTTAGTCTAGTTTGAACTTGCTCGGAGGTAAAAATGAGCTTATGTGTGCAGTTCGTGTTAGATTGAGGAGACATTATTTTCTGTGTTAGTGTGAGCAAAATAAACAAAGCAGGCTTTAAGTGTCTACAATCTCATGGGACAATGAATCTGGCTTTGAAGCATATCCTAGTATATTTTCTATATATCAAAATTATACAGCTAAATGAAAAGCCATCTTCCTGACCACCCATGGATATATGTGCCCATAAGATTGAGATGTATTCATGAGATTACATATATACGTTTTATGAAAATGTATGGTAATGGGGATATATCAAAACTGTTATTGTACAAGAAGTTTACAAAAGGAAACAGCCAATTCATTCCAAAGGCTGTAATTCCAAAACACCTTGCATGATGGTTTCCTCCACCAGAATCCTTGGTTCTGATAGGTTGACCTTTTGAACACTTATTGTCACCTACTGTATACTTCCATGGCCTTTTCCAGCAGCTCTCAAAAACAAAAGACCAAAACTCAAACTGAGAAATGTGGACATAGTGTCTTAGAGTAACATCACAAGAAATTCATGTTGGGCATAGTTAGCCTTGGCCAACACTTCTGGGCTGGGTAGTGACAGGTGCACATTATGTCAACAGTGGTAATGAGGCAGAAGTAACTCAGAACATAGACCATTAATTCAAAGGACAAAAGTACATACACATATCTTTTAAAGTCTTTATCAAAAACATAGAAACCTGTAGGGATTGGAGTGGTTGAAAGGATTAGTTTAATGTAAGAAAATTAGAATAAAAAAGTTGATTGTCCAAATAGCACAGACATTTGACCTCTATCTGCTTGGGAGGCCGGTTGGTGTAGGACAGCAAATTTAAGGCCTGTCTGGGCAATTTAATGAGATATCTTAAAATAAAAAGGAGCTAAAGAGATGGCCCAGTGGTTAAGAGTGCTTACTGTTCTTCCAAGGACCTGAGTTCAGTTTCTAGTAACCATGGGACCCTGTAATTAAAGCCTCAGACAATCCAACATTCTCTTCTGGTGTCTGTAGACACCTATGCACACATGACATACACTCACAGAGATTCATTAACACAAATAAAAATAAATATTTAATGTTTTTAAAGTAAATAAAAAGAGGCCTGTGATGTAGTTCAAAGAAAGTGTTTGCTTAACTTGCAGAATGCACTGGTTTCAACTCCAGGTACAATATGAAGTAAATAGGAAGGTTGGAAAGGTATGAACTATATTACTTGGTGTTTTATTTTGTAAGTATTGTGGTTCTTTCTCACAAATCAACTGTATTTATTTCTCAAGAAAATGACTATTAAAATATTTTATCTGTCATATTGTACCTGAATCAGAAACTTGAAGAAATTGAGGGTCTAATCAATAACGGATAAAGCTAACATCACACTCCAAATAAACTGAAGCTATTCTTGACTTGGTAAGGGAGTTACCTCAATGATTTTAGCTATGATTGTTCTGTCTTTTCAAGTCAAGAAACAGAAAAGCATATGCTAGCTTCCTCAGTTATCTGTGGGAACTCCAAGTCCTCCACCCCAGTCTTATCACTGCTCCTTTTACCTCCTTGTTCCTCAGTGTGTAGATGAGGGGGTTAAGAGTTGGAGTTATTACAGTGTATAAAAGGGTGAGAAACTTGCCCTGTTCATGAGCATAGTGAGTCTTAGGTTGAAGATAAATACCTGTGACAGTACCATAGAAGAGGGAGACAACAAGAATGTGAGAAGTACAGGTGCCAAATGCTTTTTTCTGCCCTTCAGTTGACTTTATCTTCAGCACAGAGTTTACAATAGCACCATAGGAGGAAAGTATGATGACCAAGGGTAACACTAGGAGAATAACACTGGCTATGGACATCTGGACTTCATTGTAGGTAGTATCTGCACTGGAGAGTTGAATCAGGGCTGGAACTTCACACACAATGTCATCTACCACCCGCTGGGAGCAAAAGGGCAATCTGAGAGTAGCAGAAGACTGGATCAGAGACTGAATCAGGCCAGCACCCCAAGCAAGGAGAGCCAGTTGCAGACAGACTTTGGGATGCATGACAGTTGTGTATCTCAGAGGATGACACACTGCTACATAGCGGTCCACAGCCATGACAACAAGAAGAACACATTCGGTGGCGCCAAGCCACAGAAAGATGTAGAGCTGAGTGGCACAGCCATGATAGGTGATGATCTTATTTGGACTTCCCAAATTAACCAACATCTGTGGAACACAGCTGCTGGTGAAACAAATATCTAATAAGGAAAGATTGCAAAGGAAGAAATACATAGGGACTTGGAGTTTTGGGTCCTTCAAGGATACAACAATTATGATTGTATTTCCAGCAAGAGTCAAACAGTAAAAGATAAAAACGACCCCAAAAAGTACCTTCTCTAAATGTGGCCTGTCAGAGAAGCCAAGGAGGATGAAATCACCATGGCTGTCATTGCAAACTGTGGTCATGTTTTTCTGGGACAATCGCCTCTTCAAGCGATGACACAAAAGTGGTTGCTCAAAAGTCTGTGAAGATCCTAGCAAGCAGGAAGCAGTGTAAATTGCTTGCTTCCTTTTTACATAAGAATATGAAGTTAGCCTGTAATGCTTAGGGAAGAAATAGTAGATTGAGTGAGTAGTTTAATATTTGATATTTGCCATTCATTTTTTTATCATTGATGCTTTATATCTATAGCTCTTCAAGGTAAACTGTGTAAAATATACTTACTTTCTAATAAAACCACTTTGCTAAATATTAAACATGCTGTGTTTTTGTTTTTGAAGACTCAGCATTTACTGAATAGACAAACTGTGCAATGTGTATTTTTTTTTTACTTCCTATTGACTTTTTTGTGCATCTCAATTTATCTGACTATTTTCTCTTGGTTCGTATCTCTGTTCTGTATTTTTCATTTCCTTCTTATTGACTTCTTCTCTTCACATCTCTTTTATCTTTTTCATTCCTCCTTTTCACTTTATCTTTTAATTTCTAAGCTTTAGTCATCACTTAGTAATTTTTAATGCTGTGTGATCTTGTGAGTGAATTTAAACTTCTGCTTCATATTTTCAATATCTCCTTAGGGGGAAAAAACAAGAAATGAACTCAACCCTCCAATAACTTCTGAGTGTTTGTAATATATTCAGACATATCTGTATTTAATGTCCTTTTCATCCAGTGAATGTTAGCACTAGTTCATTCATCTAAGTATTCCTCATTCTCCATTTGGGGGCAAATTTGACACTGGAATAGTAATTCCTAAATTTTATAGAGTAGGACATTCATATATTTTAAGGGGTGATGATGAAGAATGATAATGGAAATGAACTGAATAAACCAAAAACTTGGAATTAGTATTAAAACATTTTAAATCAGTAAAAACTAAATCAGCACAAGTAATTTAATGACATATATGTAATTGGGCCTTGATTCTTGGAAAGACTGTTGTGTGGTTTAATATTTAAAGTATGTTACATTCATATTTTTAACTTTATTCACATACTAGAGTTAGATTCAGCCAAATGTTTCACAGTCAGTATTTATCATAATTAAAAATATTAAAGTGCAGGCTGCCCCCAGGACAAGCTTTTTTCAGAGCACTTAGGTGCACAATTCAAACTTTACCATATTTTGTTTACTTTATGCATAGTTATTACTGTCCCATGCATTCTAGAAAGTTTATATATGGCCTTTGTGACTGGCATCTTCTCAGTGTCATTTATCCTTTATATTACCTAGAATTTTTTAACTGTGGTGATGTATTAGCACCTTCCTTGTGAGTAAAACATAGTCACAGAAGGTTAATTGTTATTTTGAGGAATTTTGTTTCCTGTGTTCACATCTACAATCTCATTCTATTCTTTGAATTCTATCTTTTTTGTATAGTAACTGACTACTAGTCTCTGTTTATCCAAATTCTGTCTTTGTTTCCTCTGTTTATTAGCAGTGTCTCTATTTCTGCATTTCTTTGACTCTATATATCAGTTTATCTACCTTCTGTCTCCCATTTCCTAATTAATTATTAATCATTTCAGGAGATATATTTTTCCAAGTTCAACTTATATTGTTTTCATTAGGAGACAGTCTTAGCCTAACTGGTTTTCATTAAGCAAAATTCAAGAATTCTCTTTATCTGTTTCTGTTCAGATTGTCATTTTCCAGAAACTATCAATTATCTCTTGACTGTTTTTTCAACTCACCTTTTTTACTTTTCTGAGCACTATCCAGGGAGTTCATATAGACACATGGTGCCCCTCTGATCCTTATGGTCACAAATGTAAAAGACAGCATTGATACATTTCTTTTAAAGTTGATGTCTCTGGTTCAGATATAGCTCTTTGCTTGAGCCCTGGTTTTATTTCAGCAGAACTACTGAGTCCTCTGTGAACTCACATTTATTGCAGACAAACTGACATTGGTCTGCTTTAAGGACCCAGTATATACTCCTCTCTCTGTCTTGAGGTCTCAAACCATGAGAGACCATTTTGCATATGAACAAGAGTTTCCCAGAAGCACTGATACTTAATGACCCAAGGGAAATCCTCAACTAAAGATGGTAGCAAGTGGCTAAATGTTTTAGCCAGTCTTCCCTCAGGTACAAATGTCCTTTTTCTGGATAGCCCTGAGAAAATATACCCATTCCATAAAACCTGGCTATCAAAACTCTATATTGTGTTTTCTACTTACTTATATCATTCTCCTTTTCCCTTTTACACTTAAATTGGTATCACTGCTAAAGTTATTTAACTTTACCTACCTCTTTAGCTAAATTCCTGCTTTTAGAAGAACCTAAATAAAAAGTGATTGCTATAAGCTGACTTATAAGTAAGTACCTTAGAAGAATATTTGGGAAATAAATTATGCATGGGTCAGATTATCAAGGACCCTGAACTACTGAATAATCATGGTAACTTCTGCCATGCATCAACATCATCATCACACATTATCTGTCTTACTTATGACTTTAGATGAGGAAGTTGAAGGAGCCCTAACAGGCCTGAGCATGGCAAATAGAGGCCCAAGCATGGCAAATATTGAAGACAGGTTTTGCCCTTTTACCCTTTTTCTTCTCTTTGGCTAAAAGCATTAAATTCCTAAAACTAGCCCCAAGTTCTATTCCCATATTTGGCCGCTGACTCATTACTCAGACAAACACCAAGGTCCAACAATCAAAATTCATTATTTGGCAAATATGTCTAATCAGGATTTATCAACCCACCCTAGCACATACTCCCCCATTTTTCTCCTTAAAAACTCAGTCCTGCAGAAACACTTTCTCTTGCTTCTCTTGCTTTTGAACTCTTGCTCTCTTGTTTTATATATTTATTTATTTATTGGATTGCTGCTGCTGCTTTGCCCACCTCACCACCTCTACCAGTACCTTTCCCCTCCACAGCAATAAATCTCCTTTGTGCTGAGAATTTGGTATCTGGGTATGTCTGTTACTGATTCCAGTGGACCAACCTCCCTTTAGTAGGATCATGATTTGGAGGATGTACACAGGACCCCCAAACCAGGTCTTGCACTTTCTGGACAGCCAGTGCCCTTTCACTAAATCCAACAGTAGCCAATTGGTATGTTTTCCCTTACTACCCATCCTGAATATTCTGTAATACATTGGGTGATGACTGATGAATCTCTGGCATCCCTGCTCTGTCTTGCGGCCTTCAGTAGCCAAGGTGGACTCCCTTGGATGTCCATTAGACAGATTTTGTTCAGCTTGTCTTGGTTGGCAGTTTTTCTTTCATTTTTATTGACTGTTGTGCTGGAATCCGGTATCCATTCAAACAGCCAAAAATACTATTGGCAGGTCTCAGATTTCTCCTCTGATCCATTGTGTCCCCTCTTGGTGATGGAGTTTGGGTGATGACCCCTCCCTCACAGAGGTCTCTGTGATCCACTTGAAGCCAGGGAATGTCCTCAGCTCTCAACCTTGTCTCAAGGCCACCACTGGCAAAGTGAATCTGGTCTCTCATTACAACTGAAAACTGCAACACACACCCAAAATTATTGATGCATCCTAACACTCAAAAATAGTCCTTATACTCTTCACCCCCCAAATGACAATCTTTACAGTTTTTTAGGTGGGTATAGACTGAAGGAAGTATATATACTGCTCCATTCTCCAAGTCATTCCATATCTCCATCTGTCCCTGCCTTCCCTATTTGAGACATCTTTTGCCTCTACCTGTCCCTCCCTGCTTCTCTCAGACCTGAGTCTTAAAGTCAAAGGCTCACTGCTATGTATGACAACCAAAGACCTACCACCATTGCCTAGCCATCAAGACTACAAGAGCCTAGGACTACTGTCTAGGTAATGAAAAAGTCTCTGTCATTTTAATTAATGCATAGAGAGTTTAAGATAATACTTCCTACTATAATTTATCCTTCTCAGATCTCTGATGATATTGACTGAACATCCCAAACCCACCCCAAATACTCCCCAGGAGCCTAGGTTCTCACTACTTTTAATATCATATTGCCTCATCATGTTCCTCACTCACCCCACTTACCCTTCTTCTTTACCCAGAGTCACCCATAGTCAGAGAATACAGCCAATCCTCCAACCCCTCCAAATTCTACCCTTAACTTGCGTCTTTCAAACTTTTTCCTTTTCCCACTCCTTTATCACTCCCTCGTGTTCTATTCCCTTACTAGGAAAGGAAGTTCTCTTCAAAATTGGCAAAAAAAGTTTGCCCTGTGCACTGACAACAGCCCCCAAAACACCTCTATGTCCTTTCTCTTTCTTTCCTCAGCCTCCATGTACACATTATCTCACTCTCCAAAATCCTCAAATCTCTCCTGCCCTCTGCCCATTTCTCTAGTCAACCTCATTGTACTCTATACTACTATCCTTCCTTTGCTGCTGCATACCATATTCAAAGATATTTCTGCCTACATCTCCAAACCAAATACCTCCTACCCTTAACCAGACTCTGCCTAGGCCTGAAACCCATTATTCCTATGCCCAACCTCCTCACCCTACAATGCTCCCATATTAACAATAACAACAACAACAACAACCAACAAAACTTAACAAAACCTTCCTCCTGGTCCAGGACCTTTATTTCATAAACAATGCCATTATCTCTCTCCATCCTATGGTTCCCTTCCATATGATCCTGTTGTGAGATGTTCTGTATGGCAAATGTGTTGCTCTGATTGGTCAATAAATAAAACACTGATTGGCCAGTACCTAGGCAGGAAGTATAGGCGGGACTAACAGAGAGGAGAAAGGAAAGAACAGGAGGGAGAGAGAAACTGCCAGCCGCCATGATGACAAACAGCATGTGAAGATGCCGGTAAGCCACGAGCCACGTGACAAGGTATAGATTTATAGAAATGGATTATTTAAGCTGTAAGAACAGTTAGCAAGAAGCTTGCCACGGCCATACAGTTTGTAAGCAATGTAAGTCTCTGTGTTTACTTGGTTGGGTCTGAGGAGCTGTGGGACTGGCAGGTGAGAGAGATT